TATTAATATCATAATATAAGGTTACATGTATCATGGGATACTACACTTAGACGGGACGGGATGAGATCTGATAAACATGCTCTAAATAATATATGCTGGTCAATATGCTTGCTATGCTTCCAGTCATACAGTATTTTTATGATAACTTCACATTAACACTAGCATCTCTTACACAAGCTAAATACATACAATTTCTTGAGTTCTATGCCGCTGATATCCAGTTTGGTTTCCTAGCTCGCAATGTGTCTGGTGAGAGGCTAGAGTCAGGCACACTTCCTGCCAACCTCACTTTAAGTACAGCAATGCCAGACTGTTGGAATTTATGTCTTGCTGTCAGCTTATTAACGGCATGTAGACGCAGATTTTCTAAAGTTTCTCTTATAATATCCGCAGTTAAATTCAGCTCTGTGGAATATTTATTTACCAGTTCCTGCAAAAAAAAAAATCATGATATGTGCTGTGTTTATATTTTCCTTTTTGACTGTAATTTGATAAAGAGTAGTAGTCTTTGTGCTGCATATCTTGCAAGTATTGAGTGAACTTGAATTTTATAATTTTACACTAACATTTTGAATCACCATATTTATTGCACTTCATTAAATACATGTACAAGTACCATGCAGCTTAAACGTTTATTTCCTATTATACACTATTCATGTACGTCAAACTCACAATCATTTTGTTTTATTATCAGTGACAGTGGTATTTTCATTTTTTTTCAACTTCCTTTTCAACAAAATGTTCACCATTATAGATAATAATTAATTGTATGACAATGAAAATTACAATAAATCAAACATCTCATCGTCCATGAATATATATTTTATATGAGAAGTTTTTTTTCTTTCTTTTAATAAATTTTTTATATATTCATTTTACTTTGAATTTATTTTGATTTATTATTTTTTTTGATTTTTTTTAAGCAATTATGAAATACCACAAAATTGAATGAGTAAATAAATAAATAAATAAACAAATAAACAAATAAATAAATAAACAAATAAACAAATAAATAAATAAATAAATAAATAAATAAATAAATAAATAAATAAATAAATAAATAAATAAATAAATAAATAAATAAATAAATAAATAAATAAATAAATAAATAAATAAATAAGATTTTAATCAGATTGACCTGACCTGAATATGCAAACTTAGTATTTGTATTGCATCATTGTGATTGGCAGTTTATTGTGTGTTTTTTTTGTATTCATATTTTCTTTACTATTCATATAATGTCTTTCAAATATGTTTCAGAAAAAATAAACATGAATAAATAAATTACACCAGGGTTGAGAAAAAAGTTTATAATTTTGGTAGATGTACTGTCGTTTCTGTTGTTGCAGCTTTCCTTTAAAAGTACAACATGTTACTGTACATAATAAATACTCTATATAAAGGCATAGGAAACATACCCAAAAAACAAAAGAAATCAGGATTGTTTGCAGTTGAGGGGGTAATATTCACTAGGTTAAATTTTTAGCGGATTAGATGTTGTACAGGTACACACTGGGTTTTAAATTCACTGGTTTGTCTCGGAAACAATATACTTTTTTTTTTTAACTTTTAGTAAAATAAAAGTATTACATATTAACTGGGTTTGAATTATAACGTGTTTCGCTATCAGCGATAAAATAAAAAAACTGCTCACGAGCGTTGTTTACATACCTCTGGGATTTGTCCTCTTTCGCCGTTATCATTGCTGTACGGTGGCAGCCAGAGTTTCACTTTATCTTGGTTTAGTTTCTCGCGGACAATCCTCTGAATTTCTTCCTCCGGTAAATTTTTTGCCATCTTAAAAATCAGAGTCACTGCTATTGCTTCCAAACCTCTGTCAGATTTAGCTGGTTAAACTTATCGATGCGGCAACTTCCGGTGATGACTTGCGAAACACGCAAAACAACAACAAACCCTGGTTTGGTACAAACTGCAAACGCCGTGCGCAAATATACACTGCACGTCGACACTTTGGAAATATATACACACTAAATTAAATGTCAACCATCTTATCAAAACACTAGCTACGAAATCATAGCAAAAAAAAAAATAGTATCTCGAAAAAAATAGTAAAATAATCCAAAATGTGCACAAACTGGTTATCGCTAGTCACTTCCGGGTTTGTAGTATTATGTGTGCGTTTGTTCGGTAATAATAAACTCAAAATCCCATCCTTTTCCCATTACAGTAACTTCTAACCACAAAAGATTTTGCCAAATTATTTTATTTCCAAAAAATAGCTATATTCAATCTAATTACATTCGTGTGTTCTCTTTTATTTCCACTCGTAATGCACGAAATTTGTTACAGTTTACGGATTACTTATGGACGAGGCTGGGGGAGTTGGCCGGACGTAAACAAAATGGCCGCCCACTTCTTGTAAATAATGTCGAATTCAACTCTTAAATCAACTTCCGGTTTGAGCAGTACCCAGTGACAAAGATATCGTCGGTAGGTAATGATCATTCCAAGTCACTGTGCAGAGATGCTGCAATTGTTATATTACTAGTTAAA